TTAGTATTTGTATCCCCTCACTTAGGGCTGGGCAAAACCTAACCCAAATCGCTCAACCTGCCCAACTCAACACAATCCAAACCGATCGATTTGTGTTGGTTTTTAAGTTCAATTGGATTAGATTGGATTGAAAAATCAAATTTGGGTTGGGTTTTGGGGTATGAATTAAAATCCAACATAAGCTAGTCCAACCTAACCCAACACGGTAAATTAAAGAAATTAATATTTGAAATAAAAAAAATTAAATAGACACAATGGTGAAGATAAGAGAACTTATAATTTATAAACTTCCATTTTTTTTTGACATAAACTGATTGACATGAATATTATGTACAAATGCAAAGTTATTTAACTATAAAATAAAAATTAATGACATGATAAAATGCATGAATCCCAAAAAATTGTAAAAATGAAAATACTTCATAATTTTAAATTTATTTATACATTATTTTCCAGAAAGAATTCCTTGTGTGTGTTAAAAAAAATAAATGAAGGGTTTCAAGTAATTTCAAACTTTAAAAATTGTATAAATTCAACAAAAAAAAAACAATCTAATTCAATTTTTATTTGGCTGAAACCCATACCGACCAACCCAAACTTGGGTTGGATTTAGGTTGGGGATGAAACCAACACAACACAACCCAACTCATGCCCACCTCTACCCTCACTAACCAATTTCACACCTGCCTTTTGTTTCTAGTACTTTTTAACAAGTAACTAGTTTAATAAAGTGTAGGCTTTATGGAGATCATATATCTTTTCTTCAACAAGGGTTTTATTCTTTGCCTCCAATTCGTTCTGGAAGATACTGCAAAACACTCCTTATTTTCACTTGACCTGCTGGTACTCGATCTTGATGTTGTAGGCTCATCTAATTTTAGTTCAGTGCCTAGAACCAAAGCAATTGAGAAGAGGATAGCTTTATAATAGAAAACCAAAGGGAGCTTAGGTAGAGATATCCAAACTGAAACAATTGCGGACTCCTTAAAGGATCAAAATCATGTGTATTTTAGCGTTCTCATAGAAAATCCATCGATGATCCACAAACTCTTCATAAACACTCGACGGTAGTCCTCCTCCTTAAAATGAAGGATTACACATGCTTTCATATAGTCAAGTCACCCTTTTATATTCGACAGAAAAAAGGTTTCTACTTCTCAATATTGTACAAAGTAACTTTTTCTTTGATGAGAAAAAGAATTTGTAGAAAGAATTTATTAAACATGAAGTTTGTTTGGTAACTGACTATTGGACATCAATACAAATGTTAGACAATGCACTCGGTTGATTATGATTGGAGACGAATCATAAGTTTCTTGAAATTATAATATCTTTTGTGACAATTAAAAAGTCTCCCTACGAGTAGGGATGGCAACGGGGCGGGACCGAGTAGGGCCGGGCAAGGGGCCCTTCCCACCCCGCTCCGCTCCGCTCCGCTAAGAAATTCTCCGTCCCGTTACCCGTTTAAGGCAAGGCGGGGCGGGTCCTTTCCCAATTTATTCCCCATTTAATTTTTTTTTTTTTTTTAAGTTTTTGATAATTTATTTTTATTACTCATATTCATTAGATTTAGACAAATAATTTTAGTTGCTATTTTCTATTAGAACTAATGAAAATTTTCATTTAAAGTATTGAATTTAAAAAAAAAAAAAATTTAACGGGGCTGGGC